TTTGTGATCCCAAATCAGTACAATCAGGGAGTATCCAAGTTAAAATCCCATCGCCACAAGGATTACATTCGTTGATGTACCATGATCTGAAATGATCTTGGACTATAAATCCTGATCCGGATCAACCCAAAGGTGTGCACCTTACATGTTAAAGTAGTTGATTATAATCTTAGGAAAAGAAACGTTATTAGGAAAAAGACTTGCCACTCCTTGCTAGATTTATTAACCAAAGAAATCTTAATGCTCTAAGTGCCTGAGTAAAGATGCAGAAATAGAAATGCTAAGAAAGAAAGTGGACAAACTAGAGTCTTTAGGTAATTGACAGAGTTTTTTCCTTGATTTTTTTTCTTTCAAATTCAAGTACTTATTTATGAAAGCCAGTGTCAATTTTGTTTATTTAACCACAAACAAATGAATTCAGTGTGGACAGATCTGTACAAGTCATTAAGCCAACTGCCACCTTAAAAAGGTGCCATTCTGAAATCCTGTGACCAACAGGTTAACAGAGGTAAATTGATTAATTTGTTAGCAGTAATTAACAGTATGAAAGTATTTTTTTAATTTAACAATGAAACTCGTTGTGGTTTTATATCATTTTTGATTACTGACACTTTGTTTCCATATCTATGGCGTACGATCCCCGCCAAAATTCATCATTTAAATTTCTACTTAAATTTTATAGCCGAATTAAAAATTTTACACTCTTCCTTCAGATTTCGCATTATTGGAAAACGTTTTTACACTCGTCTTTTATTTTTTAAACTCAACTCTTTTATTTGACCTTGCTCGCTGTATATTTTCAACTCGCTTCATCAAATTACACTTGCCGAGTCATATTTCAAACTCGACCTTGAGAATTTTCAACACGACTTCTGAATTTTCATCTGTCGGGGTTGGGCCATAGGTGGCTCTTTAGTCCATCATGCTTTGCGCCTTTTGTACAAACATGGCGGCAACTTCGCACTTGCTGTTGTACATAGCCTGTTCCAGGCGTTCAGATAGTGGGGAGCGGTGCGTAGTAAAAAAGGAGCCTGAAAAAATAAAAGCCAGGGAGGAGGAGAGGTGAGGGAGGGAACGCCTGTAAGATTTGTTTCAAATAGACTCTTCCGCCCACTCAGACCACATCAGCTGTAGGTGGTCCTCACTTGTCGATCAAGACTGGTGTTAAAGCCCCATACATTTATTATTTTTCTTGCGAATAAATCAAAATTTCTCAGATCAAAAATTAATATTATGAAAACATAATCTTACTAAAAGCCTAATGTAAGACTTTCAGACAATAGAGAGCGGGAGAAGTCTTCATGTACAATGAATTTATCTACGGCTTTACAACATGATTTGCGCGTGTACGTGACAAAAAAATTATGCATCAAGTGACAAACAAACATCGCTCATTTCGATAAAAAGCCATTTCAAAACAGATCGTTAACTCAAGCAATGAACATGCACAACAATTGAAGGGAAAATTTACTATTCGGTGATTGAGTGGACCTCGTCAATAGTCCTTTTGTCCATTCCTTAGGCAACCACGATTTGTGACTTCAGTGTACAATTTCACAGCTTCCACTTTTAACGGCTTCATCCACATCTTCTCCCATCATTGCCGCCCCTACTCCGATTTTGTTCAAATGTTCCACTTGGCCTTTCATGATGGCAATCAACGGAATTACCACAACATATCCTGCCTTCATTCCAACGCGCGCTTTATTCAAGGAAAAAAGCTGGAAAATAAGACTTTTTCCAAAGCCAGTCGGTAAAATTGCAAAGACATCTATCCTGCCGACTAGGTGTTTTAAACAGTTTCTTTGCTCCATCGTTTAGCCTCCACGTTTGGAAAATCACTCAGCGCTGTTTGTTGCGAGTTCAAATTCTGCGTGACGGGACGTAGAGTCTGTCATCACCGCCATATCGCATTTCTCTCTGTGATCGAAGACACATAGTGCAGTTCAATTGCAGCCAAGTTACAGTGAAAAAGAAAACCAAAAAATAGCTGCTGCAGCCCTGCTAGTTTGGTAAGGGTGTTTACATGTTTTCTTCGCATAGAAACACTCCCAGTAGATAAGAACACCTAAGAAGAT